GTCTTTCACTGCACTCACACAAATCTGAGTAAACTACTTGAAGTGAGAGAGGCCAAATGGAGGATGAGAGTGAGGGCCAGAGTTCAAACAGCATGAAGAGGAAAAAAAGGCAGACGGGAAAGAGGGGGGTGAAATGGGTCAAAGTGGAAAGACAGGCAGAGAGAGAGAGAGAGAGAGAGAGAGAGAGAGAGAGAGAGAGAGAGAGATTATTAAAGGTCTGAAAAGGTCTGAATGCTAGTCGGCAGTGTGAAAAGGCCATGCCAGTCTGGATAAAGATCAGCTGGGGCTAAATGCCCACGAGGCCAGGGGCAGTCTGCCCTCTCATCCAGGGGTCGGAGTAGGTGCCATACCAGAGAGAACACTGATACACACACAGAAATATGAGCTAAGTAATCTCTCTCTCTCTCACACACACACACCACCGAGAGAAAGTAAAGTGAGAGAACACACAGGCCTGGACATTCCTCATCTGTGATCTACTGCTAATCTACTGAGGAAAAAGACATTAAATCTCCAGGTTCAGCAGCTGAGCGTCAAATAAGGCCATGCATGCAGCTCAGTGTACAGTTTTAAATCAGTAAATATTTAGGCAGATTAATAAACCCAGAAAAAAGTGTGATGGCTATGGTGCTCAATCCTAAAAACCCTAAAAAAACAAGTAGGGAAAAGAAAGACTCTTGTATACTCTTAAAAGATTCAAGGGTTCTATATGGAACCATGAACACTCAAAGAACCATTTGCATGCTTAAAGGTTTCTTGCATGGTGATTGATGGAGAATCTGTTGTATATGCTCAATGTAGAACCTTTTTGAAAATGGTTCTATATAGCACCAAAAAGCGTTCTGCTATTATTATGATGTCAAGCTTGTAACAATAGAAGAACTCTCTTTGGTACTATATAGAACCATTTTCCAAAACCATATGCAACTCATTCTCCATCAATCTGGAGAACCATTTCACCATGCAAGAAACCCTTAAGCATGCAAATGGTTCTTTGAGTGTTCAAGGTTCTATACAGAACCATTGGGCCTCATTCACCGACCGTTCCTAAGACAAAATTTCTTCTTAAAACCCACTTGCGCAGTTTTTTTTACAAAGATTCTGACATTCACCAATGATTTCTTCTTAGGGGTTTGTTCTTAGGTAAGAACAGAATCTACTCACACTTAAGAGCACAAAGGTGACAATTCTGGTGTTTAAGAACACGCCATGAGTCTGACATAGACTTTTTCTAAGAAAAAACTTAGGAAAACATTGTTGAATGAGGCCCATTGTCTTTATTAAAGAACCCTTGATCTTTTTCAAGAGTGAAGTTGAAGGCTAGCAAATATGACTCTAGGTACAGACCATACCTCTGAATGCACCACTACTAATAAATCTAAAAGCCAACTAGGCCAATTAAATGCTAACTAGGCCTATTTTTAATTCCCTTTGACATGGCTAACAAACTAAAGAGCGTTCAGAGGTCTGGTCTATACCTAGCTTCATGTTGTGAGTGCTCACCTCCACCACAATGAGCTCTTTCTGTTTATGTATTTAGGCCTATGCTGACTGTGTGTGATGTGACAGGGAGTGTGTCTGGTATCAATAGCCACCAAATCATCACTCCGGGATTAGGACAGAGAGAGATTATAGATCTGATTCAGCCTCCTCTGCAGGGACAGATTAAGATTATAAATCACATCAAACAGACTAGAAGAGATCTTTACTTATGAGCTTCCAAGAAACACATAACTGTTCCTGTACTTTTCTGAGATGGGGCTGTGTAGCTACAGTTATCCAGCCCATGTCCAAATAACTATGAAAAAGCAAAGAGTATTAGATACTAGTTAGTGCAGCAGCTCATTTCTGCAATCAATATGCTACCAAGTTCTCTACAAAATGTCACTGAAGTTTGGCATTAAGCTTAACTGACCCCAAATATAAATTATTAACCTCCTTACATTTAACATATATATGTTTTCATGTACTCCGGAAGTAGTGCTAAACTGACGCTTGTATTTAAATTCGTCACGTAAAATTACAACTATTTGCAGATCAATCATTACTAGAGAGAAATTAGATATTCTCGACTAATTGACAACTTTGAATAATTGCACCGTGTTTGTCGTATGTGCCTCGAGCAGCTTCACTTCAGTAATCCAGGCTAAAATATACATACAAGCATGTGTTTAAGATTCCTCTTCGCGCTGATGCGTTAGTCTTCATTGATATTCAATAATGTCTCCATTACGGAGAGATTCAGCAACACAACTGGCCAATAGACATTTAAACATGAAATGAAAAACAAATTAAAAAGAGTTTAGTCTGTGGTAATAATGTGCTTAAATAATCAAGTTACTTACTTACTTGTAATTAGTTGTTATCACTCAACCCGTGTTGTTTGTCGGCTACTGTCTGATAGAAAATTCTTATGTACTTATTTTTATAAGAAGAACAATCACAAAAAAGACGGACAGTACGGGGCGGAGTCACCCAGAATTCCTAATGGTTCAGTAGTTCATTTCTGTTTATTACCTCTTATTTTTCCTTCATATGTTTTCAAACAACGTTCACATATATATTATACTGCTGTATATATAGGTTTGGATGCACTTTTACAAACCATGAGTGTGTTTAGTGTCTTTCTTAAGCGGTCAGTTTGGTTAGTAGTTACAAAATTTCCATGAGAGTATGTAACTTTGAAAACTGTTTTTGAAAGTTTTTTTGGCCACATTTTAGATCATTATAATTAGGCGATGATGAAACTGGTGAAATGAACAATTTAGTAGTTACTTTATCTTAAAAGCTCATGTTTCTACAGCAGTATAATTTGTATGATGTAAACTTATACTTTGTTTGTTAAACTTAAAAGTTCCATGTTTAATTTGGAACAACTTGAAAAACTGATTCAAAGCTTAATTCATTTGAGGCAACGAGTTACCTCAAAAAGTCTGACTAAACTGAGTATGTATTATGACACTGAACTACACTGCAGCTCATCCCTGGACATCTCCAGCGCTAAACAAAACTATTTTAAATACGTTTTAATCTTATATACACAAAAACAAAAATACATTTCGTTGTTACAAGACACTAGCAGATAAAAGCATGTCCTGAATAGATTTAGGGAGATCAGTCACACTGGAAGCCGCGGGTCTCACAGAGCAAAGACAAAAAAATCTGTAACGAAGCGGAGTAGCAGTTTACAATATTAAATCAGAAATTTAACAGAATATTTAATCATTTACTCTATTTCACAAATACTATGTTAATTACAGAAATAGCGCTTAAAATCACAACAGAAACGGCTCAGTGATCAGACGTTCTGCTACAAAAAAGGCCTTAACAAGTCTAACTAGATATAGTTATAAGAATAACAGTGAATTTTCAAAAATCATCCAGTAATTAAAATGAAATTGCATATTTGTTAACATTCTCCATAAACGCACTGAAATAAGCCACTTTTTCGCCTTTTTGACTATTTTGGTCGGTTCTTCTGTGTTTCCCCGGGCGGTTTTAGATAATTTGCGAATCAAAACTAGAATAAAGTGTGTAGTATGGTAAACAGTAAACCTTCAGCTGGACATCAACCAAAACAACCAAAAATACACTCATTTCGGTCCACATCTGCAAAAACAGCCGCGAGTATAGGATTCATTATCATTCGACATTACGTGTTCCTCGTTAGCAATAAATGGCCTGTTTCAGGCGAACTGATTCCCAGACGGAATAATCTTGATTTTTAATGTAATATCCACATCTTAAGACCGCTGTCTAACTGTAGTCATTTTAGCATATAGATAATAGGGTGAGTCTATTATCAGTTAAACCTAAAACCTCTTTCAGAATGTTCTTCTAACGAGCAATCATTTCCAAGATTTAGACTAAATGAGACGAACCGCAGCTGATGATGACTTCAGCCATGACAGCAAAGCAAACTCAGTACGCAAACGTCACATGACATTACGTGTATATTATTTAAAGAATAACTGAAGCAAGAAGTGAGGAAGTTTACTCAAAAAAAACGACCTTTGGCCTACTTCAGGACTCCAGTTCGCTTTTAGCGCTCAGTTTAATGAGTTAGTGACTGATAAAACTGCGGCCAAAACAGTTTGTTAGTTTGTGTTAAAATGATATTTTTATGTTGTGATAAAACAACACAATAATACAATAATATATTGCATTTCAATGTGCTTTATATATATCATATATATTTCAATGTGCTTCGTGTTTATTAAATAATTCGTCGCGATTCATTTAAACCACATCGACCAACAAAAACGTCACGTTCTCTTTTTCTCGACGTCGTCCTCACGCAGCAACTCCGCCAGCCAATAGGCGTTTGAGAATCCTGTTCCGCGAGAGTTCCGTCACTCACGTGCTACCAGGAAACTGCCTAGTCCAGCGTTGTTTGTGTTTTCCTCCCCACACTTATTCCGTAAAGCCACGCCCTCTGCGCTATGATTGGCTGGAACGCTCTCCACTCCTGAGCTGGGATTGGTTAGCAAATACCCACAAGCCGAATCGAAACGTGGAGGGGCGTGGATTCCTGAATACGGGTGGGAAAAGAATGACGCCCCTCCACTCGTTGCTGTGTGGATTTTGATTCGCTCCCTAATTGACCCAAATAAATCGTTCAGTGCCAGGGCTTCCTCCGACCCTCAGGCACTATCTCGAACACACACACACACACACATACACACACACACAGAAAGAGAAAGGGGGGCAATTCACGGCCACTAATGCCCCCTTTCTTCAGCAGGCAAAACCTCATTCGCCATTTTGGGCTCGTCCAATAGCAGAAATGTCCTCGTTCAGTTTAAGCGTTTGACTCGACTTCGGGGGCCCCGTCTCTTCTCTCCTGACCCGCGCGCCGCCGCTGTGCTCGAGCCCCGCTCAACGACATGCTCGCGCGGAGGAGTCAGGGCTCGTTACTTTTCGTGTGAGACAAACGCGCGCGCGCATACGGCAGTGGGACTTCCATTCGAGTCAGATTTGAGAGGAAAAGAAAGAGAAAGATGAATGAGAAAAACCCGGAAAGGCAAACTTCGACGCCGCCGAGAGGCTCTTCGTTTTTTATCGAGAACCTTCTGGGCTCCGGTCGTGACGAGCCGCCGCTCCGGGACGGCGAGCAGGGCGCGAGAGGCACCGTTCTCCGGGCCAGCTGTGCGAATCGCCGTGAAGAAGCGGCCACGAGCTCCGACACACCCGCGTGCTGGCAGACCGCGAGACTCAGTGATGTTCAGCGCGCCGAGAGTGAGTAGCGAAGCCTTCCTCTCTGTTTAGGACCCAAACACGATCCCTTCCCTGCGCATCTTTACCGCAGCGTTTCTCCCGCTGTCCCAGTGGAGCCACCCGGAGCTGAGCGCTAGCATTGAGCAAGTTAAGCGAGGATACATTCACTTCTGCGGCTTGTAGTCTGTTTTTCTGCTAAATTAATGCTCCATTTAGTAACTGGACCATGAACACTAATGTGGATTATCAGAGAGGACGCTTTAAGAAACTCCTGTTCATTCTAGTTTTACGTGCTGCGTATTGGTCGATTTGTTTCTAATAAGCACAATGAAAATGTGGAGATTAAATTCTAAATTCTAAATGTTATTTTAGTGAGAGGGAATAGTTATATAAGCCAGGGCCTGTGACATACATGTCCTGTATCACCTAACACAGCCCTATAATAAAAGAATCGACCCAGTGTAATTTCCCAGAATAAAAACACTGTAATACAACATTTTTATATATTTGTGTTGCACTATGAAAGAGCCCTACTGAGTGACTAGCTTGTGTTCTTTAATTTTATCACTGATCTGGGTTCGTTTGTGTCCAGAGTAAGAAAACAAAACACTAAATTGTGCAGAGCGAAGTGATTCTGGGTCCATAGTAGCAAGATTGACTTTACAGCCCCAATAGTTCTTTGGCGATGTATTTAAGAGTGGAAATGTGTTTGAATCTGATTGTGTGAAAAACTGCAAAAACAGACTTGTAGCTGCAGAAGTGAGGTGTGCTTGTTGTTGCGGTGTGCTGTGCAGCAGGACTCCGGGGGGATTGGGAAACCCTGGTGTGACGTGATAAAGTGATTTGCCATTATCACCCCCTGACAAACGCTTGGTGGGCAGTGATCTTTTAAGAAGGCGTGGAGCCCACCTCGCACAGTGAAGTGATGCTATTATTAATAGAGTGATAATGGTGTGTGGTAGCTCAGTGGAATGTTTTTCCTAGTAGACATGCTGCTGTGCTCCTGGCACTTCCACATCAGCTTCGGCCTCCACTGTGTAAAACCAGAAAAAAGGTGTGAGTGTGTTCAGTGTTGAGGTACCATATGTGTCCGGGATGGTGGAAAGCATGAATATACTGAGGTTATGAGGGAACTTAAATAAAATAATGAATGGCCATTTTTTGGTTTGTTTGTGTTCGTGAGTTTAGGATTAGGGCTGAGTTAGATGTATCACAGCAGCACTTTGCAAGGAATACAAAAGGGCTTGGAAATACAGACTTGAGTGTCTCAGAAGAGTTCTCGTGGCTCGAGAGACTTGCAGTCATTAAAGTTTTTCACTGGTTTGTCTACTTCCTTAACTTTGGAAAAGTGAAAGAGAGAGAGAGAGAGAGAGAGGGAGAGAGAGAGAGAGAGAGAGAGAGAGAGTAAGAGTAAGGTAGTAAAATTGGTTGGAAACAGGTATTTTGGGTCATCAGGTAATAGAAAATATGTTAAGAAAGTCTCCTGTATTGTAATTTCAGCTGCTGCTTACTAGTGTTTTCTTTCTAAATGAGCAAAGGGAAATACTGTAGAGAGGCCCTCAAGAAAAACAGTCAGTGGGTCTTAACGCATCGCGCCACGTGATCTGAAATCTACAGTAGAACATAAGAAAAAGCTTTAGACACCTGAGAAAATCATATTTAACATGATATTTATCTAGGAAGTAAGTATTTATTTAAAAAAAAAAACACATTAGAAAAAACAAGATAAGTAGTGATTTTATGTGCTCGTTTGATCATAAACCTCTTCTAGACCCGTTTTATTTGTACTTATCAACCAGTATCTGGTCTGGTTAAATAATAATTCACTAAATTAAATCAGCTGTGCTGATGATGCAATTTACGAGATCCATATGATGGCTGAGGGCGACTCGAACCAAAAACTGTTCTTTAAACTAGCTCACATGATATCAAAAACATTTTTTTGTAACTGTAAGTATATATATTTTTTTGCATATATATATGTATATATATATATATATATATATATATATATATATATATACATATGTGTGTGTGTGTGCGTGCGTGTGTTTGACTTTGGCCTACCCAATACCCAATTCACTATACCATAATACGAGTGCTAGGCAAGTGAAACTTAAGCTGTACATTCTCACATATGACCGCTGCCCCACTGTCCTTTATCGCTTTATCTTAACTCCGCACAGACAGTCCTGTATCAGGCCTATACTTTTGAACACGCTGCCCATATGACCCGAATCCACTCCACACAGTAACTCTCATTCATGATTTCCTTCAGGTCCGAGAGAGTGCACGCGCAGCTCGGACGAGCACTCGGACTCGGTGTGCAGCGACACCGACTCCCCGGCAAGGAGGCGCGCGGACCAGGAGCCCGAGGCTGAGCCGGGCGAAGCGGGCTCTGCGCGCAGGAAGAAAACGCGCACGGTGTTCTCGCGCAGCCAGGTCTTCCAGCTCGAGTCCACGTTCGACGCCAAGCGCTACCTGAGCAGCTCGGAGCGCGCGGGCCTCGCCGCCTCGCTCCGCCTCACCGAGACGCAGGTGAAGATCTGGTTCCAGAACCGCAGGAACAAGTGGAAGCGGCAGCTGCACGCGGACCTCGAGGCTGCAGCCGCTGCAGCCGCCGCTGCCTCCCACGCGCCTCAGCGCGTCGTGCGCGTGCCCGTGTTGTATCGCGAGAGTTTCCCGGCCCCGGTGACCGGGTTCGCGGACGCGGTGAGCTTCCCGCTCACGTCCCTCGCGCACTCTATGAACGTGCTGAGGGCGCAGATGACCGGTCTGGTCTGAGCGGGACTGAACGGGGGGCGGTTTATACAGAACACAGACTAAACACAGGGGCTGCGTTCAGCTACTTCAGGAAGATGGGACAGTGTGTTGGATAATATGGGAGTGCAGGGTAGACCAAGAGATGTTTTTTTATTTAGTGGGAAATTTAATAAAACAGTGGTTTTATTATTCAGGGGTAATGATACGCGTGTCCCATATTACCAAACACACCGTCCCAAACACAATATACAATATATATTATACAGTAAAGATGGAGTCAGGTGTTATGGGCCATCAGAAATATAGGAGTGTGTGTTGGGTACTTTAGGACAGTGTGTTCAGTATTATGGGACAGACTGATGTTTGTGTGTTGGGTAATATGTGAGATATGGAAGAGTGTCTTGGGTAATATGGGGGATGGGTTCATTTTCAAAGGTACACTCTCAGAGAAAAAGGTCCTGAACTGCCACTGGGGTGGCACCCCTCTTGTCACTGGGGTGGTCTTCAGTACCTTTAGGCAAGAAACATAATTAAACCATAATTCATTGCAATTATATTTTTTAAAGTTATATTGACTCCATACACTCGTCCCGTATCCAGACTTTTATTTTATTGTTCTGTTTTAAAACGCTGGGTTATGAAAAGGTACAAATATGTACTTTTCACCTGGGAAAACCTTATTTAAGGTACACAGAATGACTTAAAGCCACTGTTTTACCTTTGAGGGTAAATTATCATTGTTTGTGCCTTGATAAATGAAAAATGTACCTGGACAGAACCTTTTTTTCTGACAGTGTAGTTTGTAGTGGGAAATTAAATAAAATAATGGTTTTATCATTCAGAGTCTATTACGTTTGTTCCATGTTACCATCTAACACACTACGTCACATTACCCAACACACTGTCCCATGATACCCAACACACTGTCCCACACACGCTGAACAGACAAGTTTTTATGGACTGTGTTATATGGGGACACTGACGTCACAGAGCCCTAAAGACAAAACATTTCTTTCCCAATAACATTTTATTCTGTAATTAAGTGAATTTGTTTTACACCATTTCTTTTACATTTTAAGAACGAATCTATTAGTATTCAGCAGCTGAAGCCACAATAAACAAGACAAGAGCCCTCTATTATCTGATGGCCCAGAGAACCTGAATCCAGCCTTCGAAATATCAGTACTGATTCTGACTCGTGCAATAACAGACATGACAGGAAAAAATACAATCATGTTTTGCTGCATCCAAAGAAACCACTTTATCATCACGATCATACGCCAGAAAAGTAATATATCTCCGTTTGTGTTTTATTATCAGTGTTATTTTCCAGTAGCTATAGTAGACTATAGTCTTCTATGCATGGGGATTGAGGCCCTCCGGCCTGCGTGTGTATCTGAGGGCAGCACTTGCTTTGTGTAAAAGACATTTTTATTCAGATACACTGATTTAATATTTTGTCACTTTTTTCACACGATGAATTTAAATAGTTAATAAATTAATCACAAAACTGTTGTGCTTGTTGATGTCAGATTGATGATCGTCCCTTTTATTGCAGCGCGCGGGCACTTGTGGGACTAACATGGTTGTAAATGTGACTGTGTAAAAGAGTGAAAAACTGTTTCTCTACGTTTCAAAAGAGGCACAATCATGTGAAAACATATAACGTACTCATTTACAATATATAACATAACTTTCAGTGAAACATAATAAGAGAAGAAATTCACTGAATCGATAAACTCAGCACTCCTCTGTCAGATTCCGCTGTTAAATTAAAGTTAACCTGTGCTGTTGCTGCAGAAGGTAAATAAACAAATTTTATTAATAAAGCAGGACAAAACAGATTAAACTGAGTGAAATTATGAAATATATAATTTAGTATTTCCGTAATGTTAGTGCCTAAACACAATTCTGAATAATCTGAGCGATCATTCTGGTTTCTTTACTTCCTCAATAAATAAATAAATGTCTTTTTCGGTTGCGAACCAAAAAGTATTTTTATGTGTTTTTTTTTTTCACTTTTTTGAGAATTTAAGTGAAAAAAGGCCTGAATAAAGCAGAGCGGGGTTATAAACTTCTGATTTAGCACTACACCGTATGCGCTAAAATACTAACTACACTGCCTGTGCTTAACGCCGTTTGAAAGACTGAAATTACATCTGTTTATTCAAAATAGTTTATGTTACCTATCTTTCTAGAACCGAGCCTTTAATGTAGAGAAACGTTCAGAATTGGTGCGCTGATCTACCATTTGAAGCAGTATTTCGCAGTTTTGGACAGCAGAATATACACAGCAACATCAGCAGCAGTGTTGAAGACTTTTGAATTTACACCTACAGATTTGTGTACACATCTGCAGTGTTTATTTTACTCCAGCTGACCTCTGAGTTCAGTCCGCTATATCAATAAAAGTAGGAGAAACATCAGGCGCGCAGGCCTGACAGCTCAGTATGCGCGAATCTTTGGCATCCAGTGTGTATTTAACATTGTAATCCAGACATAATTAATTTAATATGTGTATCAAACGCAAATAAATCAGCCTTTAATCAAATCAATAGCCTGAATCGGCCAGGCCACGTGGCGATAAACTGCAGCCAACAGTTTTATCGCCGTTAGGCATCAGTGGGATCACCAAGTTCGTTTAAAATGGAAAGTTCCCAGAAATCTGTTAAAGGGATTTCGATCTACCAAAGCAGCACTGAACTGATGTCACGTTCAGACATAATGTATTTCAAAATTTATCATCCAAAAAAGCTGTCATGACTTTCAAAAATGGCGCATACATTTCAGGACGGGAATCGTCCAGGATAAAACTGGAAGGAAAACACTGCCCGTTTCGGTCACTTGACGTCCTTAAGAATGTTTATTAAAAACAACAGCAGCCCATTTCGTGCAGAAGTTCATACGGAGCCTCCCAGATTTATGGAATCGTTCTTTTGAATCGATTCTTTTCAATAAATTGCCTAAAGATTCACAAGCTTAAGTTTTTTTTCTTCTGGCTTATACACAATATTTACGACTGCGTTACAGGCTGGAGACTTTTAAAAATAAAATCTGAGTTATAATCTTTCACAGCTTAACAATATAAAATAGGCCGCCACATTACCACATATTAAGAACAGTCTCTTCAAGTTTGTGTGCGTTTTCCTCTCTGCAGACTGTGACTGTCTTTCAATCGCTGAATCTAATATCATCGTAAACGGAGGAAAATAGAATAAAGTCGACTTGATTTGTGAATGAATACATTAATGAGTTCTAAAGAATCGGTTCGATAAAGTGAATCCAAACTGAACCGTCACTTGACTGTGGAAGCCTCTGCGCGTGGTTCCCGCCCTCTTTCGTGATTGGCTGTGGAGCCCTGTTGTGGAATTCCGTTGACCAATAGCGCATCAGGGAAGCGCGTCGGTGGAGTAACGGTCGCTCTAGACTCGGCTGCACTGCTCGCAGCGGAGCGATGGTGCTCGGAGGAGGCTGGCGGCGCTAACGTTAGCACGGAGAAAAACATACACACACGGAGCTTAAAAACTCGACATAAAACTCCAACACAATCTTAACGCTGTTATCGGAGAATATGAGCAAGGAGGACCCGCAATGTCGACCCGCATCGCTGAAGTTCACCATCGATAACATCCTCAACCTGAAATCGAGCGGCGGAGCGGCTGACAGCTGCGGCTCGAAGGCGCCGCTCGCGCCCCTCGCGCCGCTCTGCCGCGAGGAATTCCCTCGCGAGCTCGCGAACCAGGAGCCTGACAGCCGGCTATACGACGCTGGGAACGGTGAGTTAGTCACAGAAACTAAGAATAAATACTGTAAACGGAGTGTAAACGTCACGCCATCACTCCATTTCATCTGTTCTCGACTTTCCTTCCAGAGCGAGTCCACACAGACGGGGAAGCGCCGGCGGAGGAGCCGCTGAGGAGCGCGGACGGAGGGTCCTCTCAGGACGTCGGTGCCAAGAAGAGCAAACCGGCGGCCAAAAAGAAGACCCGCACCATCTTCTCCAAGCGGCAGATCTTCCAGCTGGAGTCCACCTTCGACATGAAGCGCTACCTGAGCAGCGCGGAGAGAGCCTGCCTCGCCAGCTCGCTGCAGCTCACCGAGACTCAGGTGAAAATCTGGTTTCAGAACCGGAGGAATAAGTTGAAACGGCAGCTGTCCACCGAGATGGACGGACCGAACGGGGACTTCGGCGACGGCGGAAAGGCGGTGACCTTCCCCGGCCTGTACAAAGAGAACAGTCTGTTGGGGAGGTGTTTGTTACCGATGCCGCTGCCGGTCGTTTATCCCGGAGGCAGCGCGCCCTATTTATGCCTCTCAAACGGCACCAAGTACTTCGGTTTTTTCGAAGGAGACGTGTGACTTTCCTCACTGCCACCTCAAATAAATAAACAAACAAACAACAAACAAACTCACCGCCTTCCGACGCCGGGACCACAAAAATGGACGAAACACTCCGGTCTCAGTTATTCCTCCCCTGTTTTCATTTCTTTTTTTTCTTTTTGTGCAGTGGAAACGGTGCGATTAGGACACATCCGCGGCGAGGAACGAGCTTCAATTTCTATGCAAAGTCGATGTTATTTATTATAAACTGTAACTATTTTGATATAGCCGAACTATCATGTTTTATACTCTTTTGTGTGCATCAGACTGAGCAGCAGCCATCATGCGCACTGCCAGTCATATTGGCCTCACGTGACAGAAAACATAACACGAACGTTTACATTTATTATTATTATTATTATTATTATTATTATTATTAGGACGGATTCAGGTATTCTGGGTCATCAGTTAACTGGGGACACTCATTTATTCCAGCTGTTGTTATGTAGCGTATTCCTTTCAAATGAACAGTCAGAAATACTGTAAATAGATTAATTACACAGATTATTCAATTGCAAAAGTAATTGTATATGGAAATAATAAAATTAGTTCAGGGCCGATGACGTGTCCCACAGTACTTAACACGGTGTCCCTTAATATCGAACACAGCCCCAGTAATACCAGTAACGCTCTGTACTTTAATACCGGACATATCTTCTCTAATGACCTGCTGTCCCACATTACCTGAATCCATCCTACAGTTTCGCCAAAGATTGATCGTTGCATGCTTTTCTACAGCCTCATACAGGCCTATTTCCCCACTGAGCGCGATTAAACCTATTTAAATGAATGTAACTATTACTCTATTTTTGTTTACCGCATGTTTTATGTTCATCATTGACGTTTCTTACCTGCGAAGTATCTCCCCGTTAGGCCTCCTCACACCTTTTAATGAGTGTTATTATTAAAATGTCCTATTTTACACTTGACTCGAAAGCGCTGCTTTTGTCTCCTGTATTTCTGTCCTGCCCGCTCAGTTTGGACTGTGTTTGAGAGCCGTTTTATTTTTTATTTTATTTTTATTATTAGTGTTTGGACCTCTGTGGAAGCTTGAGAGCTTTATTTTTTGGAGTGATGAGGAATCTCCTTAATCCTAACCAGGTCTGAATTCGTGTTGATTAAACACGTGAGTGTGCTTAGCAGGGTTGGAGTTGACTGTGATAGGAAAGCTAAGGGAGAAAAAAATCACCTGAAAACAATCTACATTCCTGTGACAAAGCCTGTTATGGCACAGAAAGTCACAGAGAAAATTAGGCTGCAGATCTCACGAGAGAGCGATTTCACTAAACAGCAGACAGGCCATGAAATCAGCGGTGCTAAATGAACCAGTTAAAATCCTGAATCAGATTCAGTTCACATCCGCTCCACAGGAGGAAACTGGTGATTTCAGCAGAGAGCCAGTAAATATATACTAAATAGGTGCCTGAATGATCGTAGGTCACATCAGACAGGCAGAGGTTTTGTCATTTTTGTATGTCATCATTTCAAGACACCTTTACAAATAATGCTCTGACAAGCTTTTAACTAAAGGGTTCATCAGCTTGTGCTTAAAACCAGTTTGTGAGTTTTTCACTCTGGTGAAGTTACTTTAACACTAGTGATGGGATGGTTGTAAGGACATCACATCATTCAGAAGAAGCTGTGAACCCTTGCAATTCATGACAAAATTTGTTTATTATGTACAGAGGTGGACGATATGGCAAAAATATAATGTCATTATATAAGACGTTCTCACGAATCATGATATGTCACAATATTTATTTTTTCTTTTATCTGATCAGTTGGAACTGAGTAAAAAGAACCAGTAGTGCTACATTTTAAAACATACTATCAAAACTGTGAATATTTTGATTTTTATTCAGTATTTGTCATACTTTGTTGCACTAAATTTTGGGACTAATTTTTCTCTTTTTTATAATGGAACATGCAGTCAGTCAGTGTATACACTGCATTGTACTGTGACAGAATTTACCACAACAACATATATTCTCAATATACTCAAACAATGTACAAACAATATACTCTGAATGTAGGTAACTTGTAATTGGCATTTTTGTAATTCAATTCAAATAATTGTGTGGATTTCATGTGCATTTATGGACATACTTCCATAAAGTCCAGCCAAAATGTAGAATTCACTCAGTGGCACTTAATTACAGCAATAAATGGAGGCACTATAAAGTATCTGGAGGTTTAAAAACTTGAAGAGTGTGGGCATTTGATGTAGTTCAGTTCTGAGTGCCAGGGCTCTGTGTGTGTGTGTTAGTGGAAAGGGGTATCTAAAAGGATTGTTTATCAAATAGGTGGTATCTCTTCACTGTTATCATGTATAAAGAAAAACCCTTTAAAAAGTAAATTATAAACAAATAAGTTAAATTACATTGTACACACATTTATGTTGTAAATTCATTATAAGCACATTCCGCCAGGATGGAAACACATTTTCAACTTTAAAATGTATATAATTCTAGAACTTATTCTACAGTACATATAGGACTGTAGTTAGTTTTTATGTAGACATATTCATTTAAAGGGGAACTTCACCAATTTTTCAGAATTTCTCCCATCATTAAATGCTTAGATGTAAACACAGTCATTCAGAGTAGTTTGGTGTGAGATGCTCCATTCTAGAGGAACTTACGGAGTCAGTATTATTCACAGTGGTGGAGATAGGAACCAGAAGTCCACCTGTAAAAGCTCCATCACAGAAAGACATTACATGAAATGGTTACGAATACGCTGCCTGATGTATTTCATATCAAAACGCTCTGAGTGACTTTGATTACATTTCCATGACTGAATTATGCAGAAACTTTGAAAAATAGGTGGAATTCCCCTTCAATAGTCATATCCATAGTGACATACAAAATATGAAGGCAGAACTGATAATGTGGCGCAAGCAGGCATCTCTAGTCACTTAGGCCCACTTGTTTAGCACCACCATCCACTGTCCTGTGACCTGCATGAATTCTTACAGTGGCCTATAGTAATCATGCTAGGGATGCTGACACAAACAGGCCAATGGGGTGTCCCATTAGCCGTCAGCATGCTGCATCACCCTCCACGTACTGTGAATCTCGCCATTCGTTTGAACAATGCACCTACTGTATGAGAGATATTAGTGTGAAACCTTTGCTTGATTTAAGCCTACCAGCTTGATACTGATGTGAGATTTATTACTTAGACCAAGAGTAATGAGAGACGATGTCCAACTACTACAATGCAGTATCAGTGCTACAACACAAGATAAGCCAGTATGAACTTTTAGTAGGTTCAGTTTGATAACACTATTGTAATGTTACTATCATCTCCATTCTGGCTTATTAATCAAAGTGGTACTGGCTATACCATCTTATGATAATATTTATTCTTTAGAGCTTCAGGGAAAGCAGGTCCAGTGAGGAATAAGGAGACCATAGTAGGATAAAACAGGCTTGTTAGTACAGAGTTGCTCTTACTGTTCTGTAACCTGCTGTGACCTTTTTATATCCAATAAGGATTGCCTTGCTCAGCCATTCAATCCAATCCATTCTGAGGACCATTAAAACACACTTCATATTCTCCCTGTAATGTTTCTGAAGCTCAAACTGCTCCAAAATACTTCTTATTTGTTTGTTGATTTAACTTTGTGCTAAAACACTTATGAGGAATATAATGTGTATAAAGTTCAATATAAATTTAAAGGTTAATTTGCAGTGGGATTCGCTGCTTCAGCAATCACCTGCTTCCAATTTAAAAAATAACCAGACTGGTCAATATTTTTCTTCTAGATTATTGGCAACATATATGATCAGTTTAAAACAAAACAAAAAATTAACCAATGCCTACCCATACAAACAAGTTTGCAACACTTTACTGTGGTGCAGTGTTCATAAGGCTGCATGACACCTACAATAAGCCTTTCCTGAAAACTGACATAAACTTATATAAACATTTATAAAGGCTTAATCCAACAAGTGTCAGTTCTCATAAAACTAAAGCAGCCTTTATGTCAAATGATGCCACCCTTCAGAAAAGTGGTACCAAAAGGCAAAGTCACCTTTTAAAGCTAATTAGTGTTGAAAAAATTATAATAATTACAGTGTTCTCTCTTAAAGATGGTGCAAGTGTTGCCCAAGTGTGTTGAACAACTTATGTCACCTATATGAAAGTAAAAAAAGAGAAATTGATTTTTCACTTCTAGAATTTCTGGAATAATGCAGTTGGATTACTTTAATTGATTTAATAGTAAATTTAATTATAAGGTTAAATAGTACATTACTCTTACTTGCAAGACACTGTATAATTCTGTACTTTATGTTTTATTTCTAATTTATCTGGTCTTCATTCAGTCGTACGCAAAAGTTTGGGTGCCTCCAGTCAAATCACGTTTTGTTGATTCAAAAGAAGTTAACATCCTCTATATTTTAAGGTAAAACTACTGTTCATTCGTTGAATTTAATATATAGGGGAAAAAAATCAAACATAAAATGTGGCCTGTGCAAAAGTTATGGCATATTTTATATTACATATATATTTCCAACACATTAAAACCTGCAAATAAATAGAAATTGTACACTAAAATTTGCAGAAAAATGTCAGCTTTAAGTGCCCCCCTGTAAAGAATTTGTCAACTTATTTTCACTTAGAAAATCAACAGAGCATGTAATTTGACCAGGAGTATTCAAACCTTCACATACAGGTGTATATATTTGTGCAAATAAAATTATTTTTTAACTGTGGCCTTGCAAATACATAGTACTGCAAATAAAATCAAAGTAACAAAGGAAGCAACCAATAAAATTACTGTACATTTTTGTTGGCTTAGAAGTTCTTCTAAACTGCAATAAAGCAGACTGCGTGGATGCGGATATAAGCACTTCAATCAAGGCACATTTTTATGGGCTTCCACAGTAACCCAACCCTTCTAGCCCTAAAAGAGTCGAAGTAGAGTTGTGATGTCCGCACACCTCCCGGATTGGGTTTCGGCCAGTTTGGAC